CGCCGGTCTGGATATTTCACATCTGAAGTAAACGAGGTGGTTATACCGCCATATGTAATAAACCAAACCCAAAGTCGCCTCTTACGAAACCCACGGGATAAAATGTGATGATTAATTCTCTTATGCCGCACTTACACGCCAACTTCGACTGTACTGTGTGTGTAACACTAGTTCTGTGTGAAATTCGAAACAGCGATTATTACAATAGATTATTCTCATACTACTACCTAGACTATATTCTTAATATATACAAAAATACTTGTGAAAATGTATGTATGTATAACACTTTCTGTGTGAGTTCCAACCAGCGATTATTATATTAATTTAATTATAACACGGTCAGAAGAACATCATCATTATTATTGGAATTTTGATTCTTTACCATTCTTTCCCTCCAAAAATGAATATGAGAGACATTATCCAGAGTAATTGGCTAAAACACTTTATATCTTGCAATGTTAAATGAGTGTAATTATGTAAAATATTATAATTTCTCTATATCTCCCTGGTAAGGCATAAATTCCGCCCGCTGTAAACTGTCTAAGGTATCTTACAATAAAGATACAATGTCTTACAATAAATAAAATGTTTGATTCATTTGTATTTCAGAACAACCCTGCACACAAACAAATGTTTTTTCAAAACCTTGTGAGAAAAAGATACAATCAAATTCTACTGATTGTAACATAAATGATGTTCGTAAAGGAAACCTCGATTTAGAAAGCCCTACTATTAAATCAAAGCCTAAACTGAAAAGAGGTACTCAACCAGTTATTAAAAAAGAGAAGCATCCTGCAAATATTATAAAAAAGAAAAAGAAAACTTTGAAACAGAGTGTAAATATACTTACGAAAAACACGTCTGAGGCATCAGCAAAATACATTTCTGAACGTGATGATTGTAGTAAAAAAGTTTTTAACAAAAAATATTCTTACCGACCAAATATCACACAGTCATAAGACGCAAAGGAACTTAGATGCAGTTCATACACAAGTTGAACAAATTCCAGTACCACAACTAATGGATATATATCACTGTGATATTTGCGAATTTAAAACATCTCAAAACGTTACATTTCAACACATCTTAAAGCGCACGTCGCTAAGCAAGTGTACTGTTGTAATAATTGTGATTATAAATGTACAGATAAAGGATATTTGCAAAGGCATACGAAAATACACACCGGAGAAAAACTTTTTTCTTCTAATATCTGTGAATGTAAATTTGCGAGAAAACCTAATTTGATAAAACACATAAAAATACATACCGGTGAAAAACCTTTTTCGTGTAATATCTGTAAATATAAATTTACAAGAAAACATGATTTGAAAAAACATATAAAAATACACACCGGAGAAAAACCTTTTTCGTGTAGTATCTGTGAATTTAGATGTAATACAAAAAGTTATTTGCAAACACATATGAAAATACACACCGGAGAAAAACCTTTTTCGTGTAGTATTTTTGTATTTAGATGTAATACAAAAAGTTATTTGCAAACACATATGAAAATACACACCGGAGAAAAACCTTTTTCGTGTAGTATCTGTGAATTTAGATGTAATACAAAAAGTTATTTGCAAACACATATGAAAATACACACCGGAGAAAAACCTTTTTCGTGTAATATCTGTGAATATAAATGTATTATTAAGAGTACTTTGCAAAAACATATGAAAATACACACCGGAGAAAAACCTTTTTCGTGTAATATCTGTGAATATAAATGAATTAAAAAAGAATAATTTGCAAACACATATGAAAATACACACCGGAGAAAAACCTTTTTCGTGTTATATCTGTGAATATAAATGTATTAGAAAGAGTACTTTGCAAATACATATGAAAATACACACCGGAGAAAAACCTTTTTCGTGTAGTATCTGTGAATTTAGATGTATTACAAAGAGTACTTTGCAAACACATGAAAATACACACCGGAGAAAAACCTTTTTCGTGTAGTATCTGTGAATTTAGATGTAATACAAAAAGTTATTTGCAAACACATATGAAAATACACACCGGAGAAAAACCTTTTTCGTGTAATATCTGTGAATATAAATGTATTACAAAGAGTACTTTGCAAAAACATATGAAAATACACACCGGAGAAAAACCTTTTTCGTGTAATATCTGTGAATATAAATGTATTAAAAAGAGTAATTTGCAAACACATATGAAAATACACACCGGAGAAAAACCTTTTTCGTGTTATATCTGTGAATATAAATGTATTAGAAAGAGTACTTTGCAAATACATATGAAAATACACACCGGAGAAAAACCTTTTTCGTGTAGTATCTGTGAATTTAGATGTATTACAAAGAGTACTTTGCAAACACATGTGAAAATACACACCGGAGAAAAACCTTTTTCGTGTAGTATCTGTGAATTTAGATGTAATACAAAAAGTTATTTGCAAACACATATGAAAATACACACAGGAGAAAAACCTTTTTCGTGTAATATCTGTGAATATAAATGTATTACAAAGAGTACTTTGCAAACACATGAAAATACACACCGGAGAAAAACCTTTTTCGTGTAATATCTGTGAATATAAATGTATTACAAAGAGTACTTTGCAAACACATATGAAAATACACACCGGAGAAAAAACTTTATAGTGTAATATCTGTGAATATAAATGTATTGCAAAGCGCACTTTACAAAGACATATGAAAAAACACCGGAGAAAAACCTTTTTCGTGTAGTATCTGTGCATTTAGATGTACTATAAAAAGTAATTTGCAAACACATATGAAAATGCACACAGGAGAAAAACCTTTTTCGTGTAATATCTGTGAATATAAATGTATTACAAAGAGTACTTTGCAAACACATATGAAAATACACACCGGAGAAAAACCTTTTCGTGTAATATCTGTGAATATAAATGTATTACAAAGAGTACTTTGCAAACACATATGAAAATACACACCGGAGAAAAACCTTTTTCGTGTAGTATCTGTGCATTTAGATGTACTACAAAAAGTTATTTGCAAACACATATGAAAATACACACAGGAGAAAAACCTTTTTCGTGTGATATCTGTGAATATAAATGTATTACAAAGCGCACTTTGCAAACACATATGAAAATACACACCGAAGAAAACCTTTTTCGTGCCATATCTGTGAATATAGATGTGTGAGTAAACCTACTTTGCAAAGGCATTTGAATATACACACTGGAGCAAAATCTTCATGAGATATATGGTAAAATATGTACAATAGCTGTGAAAACCCGCTTCACTGGGTTAGTTTTTGTCAAATTTTTATTCATGTATGTATATTTTATTAAATTAGTATTTTTTTTAAAATTAAGAACACGTGCCTTTTCTTGTGACATTTTTAAGACTTTTTCTTTCTTACATATTTTTTTATTCATTATACAAAAATACTTTACAGATAGTCATGTACTGAATACCTATATTCAATACATTCTTATGCACTACATTTACAGTCTTATGTTCTGGTGCATCTTGTGAGTTGACCATGTGAAAAACGGGATTCTCTCAACAGAATGGTAAATCATTTGAAATTAATTGAATTCGTGATATAAAAACGGATTTTCCTTTTTCTTTGCCAGTTAGAATTACTGCCTCAATAATGTTGTTGAGAAGATGTTTTATACATAATCTTGTACCGTTACATAATTTTGACGAATTGAGATTTCATAATAATACGACTGGTGATGCAATTTTTAGCTTCAATACATACAAAGGCATACCAGGCGGATTCGGTAAATTTAATAATTCTGTTGGGAAGTTCACACTTTCGTCTTGATTCATCACTGTGTCTATTGATTTATACAGTTTTTCATCTGGTGTCATATTCTGTATCCTTTCATTAATTTGCACTTCATCATTTTTTGTAGCTAAAATTGCTTGCTCACACAACCATGTCCTATTTAGATAATTCTGTTCATCAGACGGATAAACTTTTTCAAAAAGTTCTTCTTCTATATCAACTACGTTACACAATTATTTTGATAGAATAAGTTTGCCTAACTGTGAATCTATGTAGGATATATAGTGTAGGATAAAAACACAAACTCTTGTGCTTCCGGATCTCCAGTAATCTTTGCTCGCATATTTTCTATTAATGCTAATTTTTCAATACGATCCCAGAACGTTAATCGCTTCAAACATGCGAATTTTTTAATAACCTTGTCTAACTTAACTAACCTAACCTTGTGTGTCGAACATCTCCGGATAATAATAGTAAAATTTTTCACATAAGTTTTTTATTTTTCCCGATATCCTGTAACGTTCTATTTAATGCTTAAAGTGATTTTCTGTGGGCCATTTTACTTATCCCAAATTATAAATGCACATCGCATCAAAACCTTGCCACGCATAGAAGATCTTGAAACATTATAGACTGGAAATTCTTGTTGGGCTATATTTAAAGGCAAACTGAATTCCATTAATAATTCTCGAGGTCAAGTATTGCACTAGAGCTGTGCAATAAAATATATGTTACCGTAAACCGTAAAAATCGTAATCGTAAGATTAACATCTATCTCGCGAGATTGTAAACTGTTGAAAGATTGTGAACCGTAACATACTGCTTACAATGTAACGCATTATTTTTCGGTAGATTGTAATAATATATGTTAAAATTGTAATAATATATCTTAGAATTAGTCAAAAGGTTGTTCTGGCCGAAAGTTGTTAGTAAGCCTAACCTTTTTTATGGTTCCGTACCTCAAAGGAAAAAAAAGGAACGCTTTTGGGATCAGTAGGTCTACTCTAATTCAACGAAAAACGAAATTTCGCTCAATTCCTACCATGGTTCCATTCGATTCGAAACTTCGTTGAAACGAAATTAGTTTGACGTTTAAATTCTCTAAGCCTACTCTATTGCACTAAAGTTACGAACGAAAATTGAAGTTTGACAGATACTTGTTCGTAATTTTAACCTCAAATTGACGAAACCAAAAGTGTTAACTTTTTATTTTCGTTTTGGTCGATTTTGTTAAAAATTTAACTAAAATGGCTACGAGACAGCTTTTAATCGCGGCTGCTTTACGTGAAGAACGATTGGAGCGTAGAAGGAACCGGCGCCGCCTGCGTAATCAATTAAATATTTCAAATATTCCCGATCTAGAGTTTGTCGGAAATTACAGACTCAGTCGGGAATTATTCGAGGAGTTGTGCCAGGACATAGTGCCTTTATTGCCTCCAAAGGGAAGACGACATGGAATCGAGCCCACACTTAAAGTAAGTTTAAATTGTTTTAACACTCCCTTCTCTTTAATTTTTCGTTTTACTGTTCATTAGCCTCAATCTGTGTTAATGTATTTCAGATACTTACTGCTTTGAACTTTTATGCCCGAGGAAGTTACCAGGGGTCAGTGGGACAAAATATGGATGGGCCCATGGCATAACAGACGGTGTCCCGTTGTTTACAAGAGGTAACAACTGCACTTAATGCACCCCACATACTAAGGAAGCACATAAGATTCCCACAAAATAGGAATGAAAGGAATCTTATTAAGCGGAAGTAAGTACTTACCTTCCTATCTAGTATTGACCGTTAAACTTATTAACATGTGAAATACCTAGTAATTAAAATATTATTCTGTTATTTTAAATGAACAAGTGTGCCAAGACTAGGCAAATAAGTCATGCAAAAACAAATATAATTTTATTGCACAATTTACTATAGTATAATAATATTGTATCCTTATTGTAGATTTTATGATAAATGTGGGCTACCCGCTGTGGTGGGGTGCATCGATTGTTCACATGTAGCCATAGTGAGGCCTTCGGAGCACGAAGAACAATATTTTAATCGAAAACATTTTCATTCGATTAATACTCAAGTTGTAAGTTTATGAACAATATTTTAATGTTTTTATTATGACATTCACTATTTTATTACTTACATTTTATCCTATGTTGTAATTTAATAAATTTCCATCAATGTATTGATGGAAATTCTTTTTCAGATATGTGACAGTGATTTATTAATTACAAATGTTGATGCTTCATATGGTGGAGCAACTCACGACGCTTATATTTGGAGGGAATATGAGATAAGAAACCACTTGGAGGGTCTCCAGGATGAAACAGTTTATCTACTAGGCATGTCTTGATTTATAGTTTTGATATTCATTATGTATAAGTAATGTGATGATGCAATTTACACTAATATTATATTTTTAAATTTTTAGGTGATTCTGGTTATGCTCTAAGGGAGCATATGATGACACCTGTAGATAATGCTGTTGAGAACTCTCCAGAGGGAAGGTACATTTACCTCCAAAAATGTGCACTCTGCACCATAGAGCGCACATTTGGTGTATTGAAGGGTCGATAGAGATGTCTTTTGGCAGCTAGGGAACTCCATTACTGCCCAGAAACAGCAGGTAAAATTATATTAGCCTGCTGTGTTTTACACAACATGTGTATAAGGGCTGGTATTGAAGGTCCCGAGTTGACTGAAGAGGAACACCAATCAGAGAGAACCAGGGAGGTTCCCTTTGAAACAGCCGCATCTTCTACTCAAGCTCTACAGGCAGGTCGAAGGGCAAGGAATTCATTAATACAAATGTTAGAAAGGAACTGGTAAGATAAACTCAAATCAAACAATTGTGCAAGTAGATTAAAATAAACTCAATTACAAACTTTTTTTTGTTTTAGGAGATAATCATCATCATATCAGCCACATTTAAGCCGTTTATTTGTGATTAAGTAACAATCAAAAGCCATAATTTCTCATTTATAATATTATAGGATTAGGAATTAATATTACTGAAATGTATGGCACTCACTTCTTACCTAAAACATACACTTCTTCCTATCTTGTTATAATTGTAAGCAATGCGTTTTTTTTTTAATGTTAACTTTTATGTTTAATGAATTTAGTTAATATTGCATATTGTACAACATTATCTATTTAGGTATGAATTTTCGAGTAGGTACCTAGTAGACAGTGATTTCTCAACTAGTTGAAAGTTATTTGTTCTTACCTATCCGATGTGTAGATAATTAATTTCAATACCTACCCATTGTATGTACTTTTGTTAATTTTTGTGATGGAAAATTACATTACCTTAAAGGACATTTTACAAATTTGATGACTCTGTATGAAATATACAAGGAGAAAAAAATCAGCCCTTAACGAGTTTCTTGCCGGTACTTCTCGTTACAAGGTCTCCCGCTTAGGGTTTGAGAACCGATGGCGTAGCTTCTTTGACATTCACAAGTGCTTGTAACAGCCTAGATTAAAATATTTTTAGGCATAAAATTAGTTCTCTTTTATTTTTTCATCTACTTATCGTTATCCTACCTACCTAGATGTTCATAAAATGGAAACAAATATTTACTTAATCCTTACCTATGACATTGCAGATATTTTGTCACATACAGAGAAAATAATAACTTCTATGATTTTAAATACTTAACAGTATCTTTATATTATATCGAATTATGGCCATGATAATCAACTATCAGTAATAATAAAGTTCTTATTTTAGCTTTCTTAATCTGAAAGTACAAATAGTCTCAAAAATAGTAAAAAGAAACAATAGTATTCTAAAATAAATTTATTTAAAACCTAGCGCCTATTTTGCCTTAAAAACTCTAAATAATCTCGCCCTATGTCACGCAACTCTTCCAAGGCAGCCCTGATGCCTGCGAGCTCGGTGTTCCTCACTGTCTCTCTCTCTCTGCACGTCCATCTTCATACTGGTACAATCTGCTTCTGACATCGGAGCCAGCAGCAGATCGTATTCTTCTGTGACATGCAGATTGTGAGGCTGCAAAACAACATTCCAATATGTTACATTGCAGTAAATACTTAATCAATAAGTATATTTTTTGTGACAAACAATATTTTTCTTGTAATTTTAATCTCGACTGTAGTTTAGTGGTAAGACCTTCATGTATCAAATACATCCATACATACCTTGTGTATCAATTTCGATCGAAATTTCGTTTTTCGTTGAACTAGAGTAGACCTGCTGGCTTTCTTTGCTTGGGTCGGCGTACTCCTCAACTTCTACATGCAAGTCCAGGCTCTGCTGCTGCAGTTGGCTTCCTTGACTGTAGGTTGATGGTCTGGATTCATTCGTCTGAAATGAATATAAAAGATTGAATGCTTAATATTTAAGTGAAGTATTAATTTTTAATGTCTACCACAATACAAATTGTATTGTATTTTTACCTGATGGGTTAAAAAAAGTAGCATACTCACATAGAAAAATAATTTTGTAAATAAAAATCATATATCATTAAGATAAATATTTGAACATATCAAAGTTTAGAAATAGGGAAACCAAAGAATGATGAGGTACTTACTTCAGTGAAAGCTGGCACTCTGGCTCCAATTTGGCGGTCTCCGAACCCATCTCCCATTATGGATAAGACTTTTAATTCCGAATGGGAGAGTTGGGGTGCCACCGATGGACCACCTCTAGTCAATGAAGCCGACCTCCGGGAATGAATCAAACCATACCTATCCAAAATAAAAGTAAATATTAAATCTTTGTCACTCACTTTTCACTGATAAATAGCTTAAGCATTTAATTATATTACTACGAATTACCTTTTGCCACTGCTGAACTGTCTTTGTGCAACCGCCCATGGAATTGAGCGTATTGCACAATTCATCCCACAGACTCTTCGCCTGGACTTTTCCTTCTAGACTCCTCAATCTCCCGCGCGCAAGATCCCTATGTTCGTCCAGGAAATTGAGGAGTGCATCAATTTGTTCAGGAGTAGCTGAACCCGTATGTGGAGCCATTATTTTACACTGAAAGATGAGATGAAAATAAATTATAGGTACCTATTATTACAAAAAAATATGTTAAGTATTAAAGTGCAAAACAATTAACATTACTTACACTCTTTCTGAATATAAAACCAAATTAAACCAAATAGAAGTCTTTGTGGACCAAAGGACGCCCATATGAAGACTGCGGCTTGAAATTGAAACTTTGTCAGGGAATGTGTATCGCGTTTGCAAAGTAGGCAAAGAAAAAAACAAAACATATTAATAACTCTTCACTTGAGCACACAGGAAATAATGGGTGCGTTCGGCAGAAAAAAGCGCTAGCAAGCGCTTGTAAGCAAAATGGCGATCGTAAGCGGTAAGCGCTGTCAAATCGTAAGTAGCTATTTTCCTCCAGGACACGATGTTAGTTTTAACCGGGAAACCTAACCTAATTTAAATATATGTTTGTAAAGTATTCATATTAAAAACTTACCAATCATGATTTTTTAATAAGATATATATGTTTATTCATGTCATTATATTACTTAAAACTAATATTAAACAAAACAACTTATAAACTCTACTTCAAAACAAACAAATTAAATAAGCAAAATGGCGGATTGTGTCAGCGCTACTGAAGTAGCAATTGTGTTCTGGCCGAAAACTATTTTAGCGCTTGCTAGCGCTTTTTTCTGCCAAACGCACCCAATCTCTACCTACGTCTTACACTTGAGCTTGAGAAACAAACTATCACAGAACACTATTACCAAACTATTCAAACTTTCAAAGAATGCAAACAAAAAATCCACAAGTGATGACTGACAGCATTGTGATAATACGGATAAGTTTGGTTGATAAACGATACTATAAACACCGTTTGTTATTATTGTACACCTTAACTTAGTCGGTTAACGGTCATTGAAAGGGTTATTTTAGTGTCACTGTGATTTTCTTCGAAAACTTGTATATTTATTGCTTATGTAAGATTTTCTGGAATAATATGCATAAAAAACCACGATTATTTTAATAAATTCGTAAAATACATAACATTGTTCGTTCCATTCGTTCACGAAAATTGTCTATGGACTCGAACTTTGCGTGCGCGTCCGAAAATGATATAGAGTAGGGTCAGACACGAAACTTTGTTTAAATATCGTTCGATAACGAAGTTTCGTTTCGGAGAAAGAGAGTAGGCCTTCTGGATACATGATACTTCGGTGTGATCGGGCAGACGGGCGCAAGCAGGGTGGTGCGTGTTTAGCGGCCACACCACGATACGAGCTGCGGCAACTAAATACCCCAAACGATGTACGTGTTCAAGATCACGCATTTGAACTGGTTTGCGGTTTATCAAGAAAATAAGTTCATGTTTGTGTTGTGTGTAGTATACATTCCACCGAGTTACACAAACACGAATACGTGTATTTGTTTAGTATAATAGAAAATTATCGTGATGACTACAATGATTTAATAGTGATAGGCGATTTTAATTTATATTCTAGCTCAACAAATGAACGCAATCATTTTGAGTACTTTTGCACATATTGTGAATTCACCCAGTACAACAAAATAGGAAATTGCAATGAACGACAATTAGATCTTGTTTTAAGCACGCGTTCAGTGGAAGAACAGAGGTGCGCGCGGCTGAGCCAATCGTGCCGCCCGACCTACATCATCCGCGCTCGCTACTGTGGTGCCAGCGGGGGCGATCGCGGTGCGGCGGGCAGCCACCGCTCGCGCCGCTGCTATCTGAGACTGAGGGGAGCACCCACACGCATACTGGATGCAACTTCTATAAAGCAAACTTTTCGTTAATGTATTCGTTAATATCGGCCATAGATTGGACGCCAATGTATACGTTAGATGTAAATAGTAGTTTAGATTATTTTTATGAGGTTTTAAACAAAGTTATGGATGACTGCGTTCCAAGAAAAAAGCGAAGACCAGTAAACTCGGAGTACATTTACCCCGAGTGGTACACGATAGACATTATTCGCAACATACAATAAAAGACTAGGCTTCATAGACAGCTTAAGGTTAGCAAATCAAGGGTCGATTATGAGGCGTTTACTAAGTGTAGAACGTATGTAAAATATTTAATAAACTCCACGTACAAAAATTATAAAGATCAGATGCAGAGTAAGTTTCAGGAAAATCCAAAGGCGTTTTGGGCTGATATTAACTCAAAAAAGATAACAGAAGTCCACGCACGGTTTTAAAAGATGATAAGGTACTTACTAGTGAGCAGAGTGCTACTGAGTTTGGTCAGTATTTTAATTTGTATTCAGCCCTAAGATGTCTAAGCTGGACGTGGAGGCGGCAGTGAAACAGGCTGGTGGTGAGAATGGAGCGGCTAGGGTACACTTAGAACAAGTAAAGCTTGATGAAGTACTTTACGCTCTGCAAAAACTCAAGCCAAAAAAGTCAACGGGACTCGATGCCATTTTCAAAGACTGCCGAATAGTACTTTGTAAGCCACTTCTCTACATATTTAATCAGTGCCTGGCGGAGGCAGTGTTCCCAGAAAGATGGAAAACAACCAAGGTCGTCCCAGTACCCAAAGGAATGTCAGCATCAAACATGAACCAATACAGGCCGGTTGCTGTGCTTTCGACACCAGCTAAAGTACTGTAGGCTGCAGTACACAAGAGCATCCTCTCGCAGGTTAATGTACAGCTTTCAGATGAACAACTCGGTTTTAGACCCGACAGGAGCACCACCAGCAACCTAATTAATTATATGAATTATATTGTACCTGAAGTGGATGCTGGACGACAGGTAGATGTAGCTTTCTTGGATTAAAAAAAAGCTTTCGATCTAGTGGATAATGACATACTACTCACAAAACTGGCACGTGTATGATTTACGCCCCTATTTACTAACATTTTTTTGCTAGTTATATGCGGGACAGAAAGCAGTATATAGAATATGCGGGGTGTAGGTCAAAAAACTATTTAACCAGGTTCGGAGTAAGTCACGGCAGCAATCTCGGTCGATTGCAATTCTAATTGATGATAAATGACCTTCCGACGGTTGTCAAAGATGCTCATTGCACTCTATTTGCAGATGACCTGAAACTGTATCTTGCTGTTAGGAACAGACAGGATTGCCAAAAGTTACAACAAGATATAGATAGGGTGGTAACCTGGACCAAACATAATAACACAATTTAACATCACGAAGAGCCGTGGTAGCTCAGATAGTTAACGCTCGCTGTAAATATGCACCAATGAAATTGTTAAATGCAATTTTAAGTGTTGATTTACCACGTGCTCGGCGGTGAAGGGAAACATCGTGAAGAAACCTGCATGTCTGAGGAATAAGAAAAAAAAATATTTTCGAAGACATGCGAAGTTCGCCAACACGCGTTGGGGCAGCACGGCGGACACTTCCTTGCCCTAAAACCCTCTCAGAAATGAGGGGAGGCCTGTGCCCAGCAGTGGGACATATATAGGCTGCTTAACTTTACTTTTTACTTTTTTAACATCACGAAGCGTATAAATATGACTTTCAGCCGTGTACTATCTCCATTTACGTACCAATACCAAATTAACGGAGTACCAATAGCGAAAGTGTCAGAAGTCAAAGATCTAGGGGTTAATTTCTCCTCTAAACTAGAATTTCGAGAGCAGATAACCAAAATCTGTAAGAAAGCCTACAGAAATTTAGGATTCGTACTACGACTAGCTAGGGACTTCACTAATATAAAGGCAGTTATTGCATTAGGTATATATTTCTTTAGTGAGGAGCCAATTAGAATTCAACGCGGTCATCTGGTCTCCACATGAAACTAAGTATAGTATCATGTTGGAGAGAGTGCAGAATATATTTATTAGATATTTATATCAAAAAATTTATGGAGTATACCCATTTTACCCAAATAAGTATCCTACCTTATTCACCTTAGGTATGGTAGGATACAATGAGCTAAAGGTTAGAAGGAATTTAGCGCTTGTTTCATATATCTTTAAGGCGGTATGGAGAAACACCACGTCCATAAGGTCATTAAATTTCAGGTTCTTAAGTGCAGCCGCCGATGCTACAAATTTATCCAAAAACTGCTCTAAACCGGTGATGTTCGCGGATGATATAGCTTTAAGATCGAATATCTGGTCTAAATATGAAGAGGCTAACATTCGCTTATCTTCATATTTGTTATTAAGTGTTTTAAATAGTAACGAATAATTGTTTGCTGTTGGTGTGAAGCCCGAACAAATGGGCTGTGCCCTACCGCTTAATTTACGAATTAAGTAATATAATTTTTCGGCGTCCGATAACGATGGATTATTATGTATGTTGTTTTGAAAACTACTAAAGAAAAACGGCCATGTTTTAATATCCCCATTGAATACCGGAATATCTATGGGGGGCAATCTAAGTGAATCAAGTGGGCGTAACTGGGCTTCCGGCTTTGCTTCGCTTTGAGATGGGGACTGCAAGAGCTTTGCCGTTCTTTTCACGCGACACAACATATCTTCAAATGATAGAAGCGGCTGATAGTTTACTGTATACTTAGGGTCGATTTGTAATTCCAAAATATTATTTTGGTCTAATATCTTTTCGTAATCCGTCCGCAAAGAGTCCACCGTTTCGATTTCACATAAAAACGTCTCCCGCACTGCTTCTACGTTAATATTCATTATGTGATCACTTATATATTGTATACGTGAAATGAGTACGTCCCTCTTGGCGTAAATAGTTTTAAGTTTAATTTCATTTCCACTAACTGCCATTTTAAATCACTATAATTAATATTAGATTAACCTATCACTCACTGCGCCCGCCATAACAAAAAAACAGCTTTGTACCGGGGCGTCTGTCGTCACCTCAGCTGGCGGCACTTGTTTTAAATATGTATGTTTCTCACGACCTTTCATTTATATTTAAAGAGGTTTTAGTTACAGTTATTTAAAGCCGATAAGATTTTCAATAAGTAGAAACAATAACCATAACATTTAAATGTTTATTTTATTTTGTACAGCTCTTTGTTTCTAACGGATCTTGATAAAGTGTACTTACTGACGATAAAATTTATTTTATGAATATTTTACTATGGTATTCCAATAAGAAATATACTATTGTTATCTTATTAAAATCTTATTAGAAATCTTGACCGTTACGAATTGTTCGCGTAAAGGTTTTTTATTTCTACTTTTTTATCAATTGAAACATAAAAAGTTACTGTTGTTGTAACTTAAACCATTCAAAAACATTACGTAGTAAAGATAAATAACATTACTTACAGTTTTTTTTTTTGAAGGAAAATCCAACTAAAATCACAATCAAAAAACTTCGATTACGCAACCAACCGTACCGGCACGCAAAAGCGAATGGCTGTTATATTTGATGATGTCTATGTAACTGAGTGAATATAATGCTACAGAATATTCTTTAATTCGTTCAGAATCAAATGAAATAGTGTTCAATCGAAAATATACTGTATTTTTATATCAATTAATGACGAAAATAGCAGCACGTAATGCGGACATGTATACATGTCCTCTGTACTAAGCGGTCACAAAACTTGGACTTGTCAACATGAAGAATAACAAGAAATAAAACAAAGAGTCCACCGTTTCGATTTCACATAAAAACGTCTCCCGCACTGATTCTACGTTAATATTCTTTATGTGATCACTTATATATTGTATACGTGAAAAGAGTACGTCCCTCTTGGCGTAAAGAGTTTTAAGTTTAATTTCATTTCCACTAACTGCCATTTTAAATCACTATAATTAATATTAGATTAATCACAATTAATCGCACAACGCTGGAGGATGGACACAATGTAATACAACTATATCTCACAACACTATTGTCTTATCATGCCGTATTACGTCGTTAAATTGAACACCTTTGCAACGAAACGAGGCGACGCGCGTCGATAGATAAGAAGCTAAACTCACACTATTTTTTTTTACAAATATTGGGTAGGCCGAATAAAGCCGTGCGGAACTGAACTATTTTAAATAAATAAGGCGATTTACTTATGCGAGTAAGTAATAAATTTTAAAATAAACTAAACAAAAACTATTTAAATGAATAATTCTATTTGCGAATAAAACTAACCAAATTTTAAATTTAAACTAAACGAACACTATTTAAATCTATTCAATTTTAAATTAGAGAGCATTGTCTAAAAAAATAATCTAGAAATTCAATGATTGAATGGTTGGTGACGCTATAAAGCACCAGTCCAAATCCGGCCGAATGACCAGAAAATGGTTGGTGAGGCTACAAAGCACCAGTCCAAATCCGGCCGAAGGACCAGAAAATGGTTGGGCGGCGGGCCTAAGGGTTCCCGAGTTCAGATTCCCCGGTCGACGTATGACGTGATTTGTTTACACTATATGGACTGTATACGCGGATGATGCCTAAACAAGATGGCGGATTTGGCACGTATCCTCGACAATGCACTCGCTCTTCCGAAAAAAACCCATTGCTTGCCAAGGTTATGAAGGAATCCTGCTTGAGTACATTAGGAGAAATAAAACTGGGGCGGATTAACTAACAAAACACAAATACTCAAGCAGGCGTCATAGAAAAAGAAGCACACTTACCGAGGTGTGACTTCAATGCGGCTTGGACGCTTCCGTTGCTGCGGCGCTATTTCTGGCGGATTTCCTGGGGCCCCAGGGATGCGGTCCTGGTCGGTGGTGCGATGGAAGAGAGCGGTGCGCGACGATATATCACACTAGGTGAGGCGGTTACTCCTGGAGCTTGACTGCTCCAGGTTGGTGCGGTTTGGTTTCAACCGCTAGTTTTAGCGGTGGGCGTGGGCAAGAGCCCTCTAGGACGCGACTGTCCCAGGCGGTGTGGTTCCAACCAGCGGCGCAAGGGCAAGACGGCGCACGAGGGCCGTGCGCGCGCTTATATTGCTTCGTTCCTTCTCTCTTCTCATTGGTTGCGAGAATCACGCGACATTCTAGAATTATCTTCTTTCCCCTCTCATCCCACCACCCCGGTGTGTCGGAGGAACGATAGGTGAAGGAAAGGACAACGCTTGGCAAGCCTACCCTCGAATAAAATTAAAAATACGAATGGTTTTCCGCGCATCCACCGATAGTTACACATATCGACAATTTTGATAACGACGCCGTTAGAAACCATATCTATGGCTACTATAGTAGGAACGAATTGCCGACTCTCGATAAATTGTCAAATATTTTACGAGAATCTGGACTGTTTCACGGCAGTAGAACTTCTTTCTGGAGGGTTTTAAAAAATGTTGGCTTTTCTTATAAAAAATGTGATAAAAGGCGGATTTTGATGGAGCGTAGAGATATAGCTTTAGCCAGATTTAATTTTCTAAGATCAGCAAAGTCCATTGCCGTTTGGAATAATGTTATATTTCTAGATAAGACGTGGCTAAACGCTAATCATACAGTTGGCAAGATATGGACAGACGACACTTCTCACTCCTCCACAAAAGTATCTAGTGGTAAAGGCGAACTCTTAATTATTTGTCATGCGGGTTCCATGAAGGCATTTGTTCCGAACTGCCTCTTGGCGTTTAAATCTAAGAAAACTGTGGAATACCACGAAGAGATGAATTTTGTTAAATTTAAGGAATGGTTTTGTACCTTATTGACCATCTTGAATGAGCCATCGACGATCACTATGGATAATGAACCGTATCATTCAGTACAAATAAGTAAGCCTCCAACTTCTACCAGCAAAAAAGCCGATATTGTGAAATGGCTGAATGACAATAATATTGTTGCTGACATGTCCATGTTAAAAGTTGAGCTGTTGCATTTGGTTGCTATAAATAAGCCAGCTAGACCAAAATACGTATTGGATGAAATGGCTAAGGAAGCCGGACACAATGTAATGCGCCTTACACCCTACCATTGTCAATACAATGTCATAGAATTGGTTTGGGCGCAAATTAAAGGTAAGAATTTAAACAAATCTTTTTTTATAATTTATTTTTACCTATTTTAACATTTTATCTGTTGCTATTTTAACACGAAAACCTTTATTTTAGGTTATGCGACTCGTAAACATACCAGCCCACCGTTTACAGCAAACAAAATGCTGTCATTGTTGCAAGAAGCTTGTGATAGTGTTACTGCCGCGAATTGGGAAAGTGTGGTTTTACGAACAAAAAATTTGATTTTCGCTGATTGGGACAGAGATGTCATATCGATGCCGTCATAGATAACCAAATTATAATAAATACAGGAGATTCTACAGACGATGATGAGGGTGATGACGACGATGCCGACCATGAAATATCGATTGCGGTTAGAGATGATGAATATGTTCCATCTTGATAAAAATATCATGTAATATTATCTAATTAAAATTAAAAAACAGTTTTATAAATTTTAATTTGATGCTAATCCCTTTTCTTTCAATAGGATTTTAATTTGTTCGTTATAGTAATCGAAGATCAATATCGTCAAGTATCGACTATAGCGGTACTTTACTAGTACTTGAATATTGACATCTGTCAAATGGGACTTCGTAATTGGAATAGAGTATAGAGGTTGGATCTTCGGTGTAGACAGAGAATCCTAGCATTCTCTGTTTACGATCTTCGGCCTTTTAAAGGTTAAAAAGAAAAAACCAACCACGAAGTTTTTAATAAAAAAAATTATAAAAGTTTTTATTATTGATTCATGCAAATATTCCAAAAAGGAAGCTACTAATTTGTTTCAATATCAGATTTAATGATTTGATTCAATGAGTTAAGTTTCGTTTCATTTCATTTCATCTCATTTTTCATTTCCATTTTATATCAATAAAAAATTTCTACTGAAGACTTGGCTGTATGGTCAAAGTTCCCTTTGCCTACCCAGAATGGGTGAAGAAAACAAAAAATCTTTGCTTAACTATATTCTTTTACGGTTGGCGCCATTTTACAAAAATTTTCTTTGCGAGTTTAGATGTTTATTGCGCAAAATGAGTAATTTCGATTATATTTTATTTGAATTAAAACCACCGGAACTCAGTATAATTGCACAAAATGCTTCGAAGAACATTTTACCGGAAAAGTCAAAAAGTCGCTACATATCTACATACGACGAATTTATTGCTTGGAGATAACATGGACAATCATACGAAATTAATAATAGTTTGTCTCAAACAGTAAATATGCAACCTAAAACTTCCCCAGTTAGTATAAAAAACTGTACTAATTTCAATGTTAGTTGTTAGTTGAGTTTTTTTTATTAAAATGCTTCATTTTTTCGCAACTATATTAAAAATAGTTGTTCAGTACACTTGCCGAACCGTCATTGCAACTTGTTCCGACTGTCAACCCTCAACTTCGGCTGCGCCTCGGCTCGGTAGACATTTGTCGGAACTCTTCGCAATGATAGGCTTTCCGCACTCGTAATGAAATATACTATTACCTCACGCCATACTTATTATAGGCAAAGCATTGTTCAATACGCATTTAATAACCAATGTATGATTAATATATGTAAAATTGTAATAAAATAGTTTCAAACACATAGCTCTTCATAAAAAAATGTAAACGATCGAATTTCAATTCAAATTCCAGGGGTATGGGTGGAATGGGTATTGGACTCCGCGAGAATAAACGGCGGGCATTTCGCGCTCCAAATTGGATGCGCAATATGATTGTAGAAGCCAATGCTAACGAAAAAACAAAACTTCTAGGGGAAGATCTACAGGAATAGTTAATAAATAGGAAAACCATGCCCCGAACGTCTACTCAGCTATATAATTAAATAGAATTTGTGTTCTTATTTTTCTCAGAGTCTAGCAGCTCTAGTCAAGGTACGATCCACCTGCTAAAAGTGTTTGGTAGGAAATAGTAGCTGGTACTACGATCGTCAATCCGTGAAGCGTGACGATCATAGTATGTCCCAGCATTAGGAAGGCTACGTTTTTTATAGAATATGGGTGATAAACGAGCACACCTACACCTGATGGTAAGTGAATGCAATGACCTTTACACATCCACGTGTTGTATCAAGATCAAGTATCAAGATTCAGGTGCGTTGTCACACTTAAGGACTCGGATGGAATGCCTCGTTACCGGTTTAAATGGTCTCTGGTTCTATACACTCACCGTACCAAACATCAGCATTAAGCCGCTATTTTACGCTGGTATTCTGTAAGAGCGTGGTCCTACCCCGGTTAACCGACCTATTTGTGTTGCAGTTATGTATACATGTATAGCATAGCTGTAACGTGGTAGAGCACCACATCAAAAAAATAATATTATGTTAAGCAATTAACTAGCAAAATCTGAAGTGACCAACGAAATCACATCCCGCCTGACGGTAAGTCACACAAACAAAGCGGGCTACGTTAAGATACTTTGTCGCTTCAAATGACGAGCCGTGGTAGCTCAGATGGTTAACACTCGCTGTAAATATAACAGAAAGCGAGTAACCCGGGTTCGATACCCACCGGCACCAATGAAACTGTTAATTGAATTTTAAGTGCTGGTTTACCACGTTCTCGGCCGTGAAGGAAAACACCGTGAGGAAACCTGCATTACTGAGGAATAAGGAAAAAAAATATTTCGAAGACATGCGAAATTCGACAACACGCAATGGGGCAGCGCGGCGGACACTTCCTTGCCCTAAAACCCTCTCAGAAATGAGGGGAGGCCTGTGCCCAGCAGTGAGACGTATATAGGCTCTCACTTTACTTTTCAAATGACTTAGATGAAAAGCATTACAATTACCTGCAATCGATAATACTGGCTCTCTAAGGTAAATGGTAGGTAAGGTAAATGTAATTGCTAAATTTGAGTTCCAAAAAAATCGCAAGTTTTAGAGCAAGGCCGGCCAAACCCAGGCACGCGGGCCACGAAGCGGCTCGCCAAGGCGTTTGAATTTACCTCGGCTGCATTGGATTAGGTACTAGTACTACAATAATAAAATCAGTTTGGTGACAATTTGTTTTGAAAATTAGAAAAGATTTTATAAAAACTTTACATTTACATTATCTGCAGGTAAGACTATGTACGTGCTGTGATTTTGATTTAGATACCTACATACCATTTTAGGTTTTTGTTTGTTTATTGTGCGTTACGTTATAATTGTAGGTAAGTTGATGTTTTGTCAAGTTTTATTAATATTGTCGTATTGTGCCTGTCCAAATCAATTATTTTACTTTACTTACCTACATTCCATATTGAAATCATTAACTGTAGTTTACAAGTTAAATCTCTATTGTTTTAGTATGGCCCTCAGCAAACCTAGTACATCAAAAATAAATGATAACTTTCGGACGTTTCACGAAGAATGGAAACCAAAATACTTTTTCATCGAGAGCAAAGCCCGCAAACCGGTGTGTTTCATTTGCTCAGCGATAGTAGCTGTTGCTAAAAATATAATTTTGAGCGACATTTCAAATAAAACCATGCGAAATTCGAAAAAGAGTATCCAGTGGGGTCAGCTTTAAGGACAAAGAACTATTTTTACGCTGTTCGCTGGTTATCCAAGGGCGAAATGGTGAAACATTTTTATGATTTGAGGGACCAGGTTCTGGATTTTCTGGAGGAAAAACAAGCATTACCAGCAGAGAGAGCTCTGCTTAAAAATTCTTCTGCTTTGCGATCTTGCATTTGTAGTTACCATTATGAAGTACCTTAATGTTCTGAACTTTAAATTGCAAGGAAAAGATTGTTCTCCTCCGACAATGTTAAACTTTTGTCTTGTGTATAAATTACCTTATGAATATGGGAGTACCGGTGACCCGGCGCCGCCACAATCTAAGAAATTTTGCTCACCTGGAAAATCTATTGGCCAGCCTTGTTCTAGAAACTCCAAATTATATAATTTGGATGAAGTAATAAAGCGGCAAAAAAATGATGCGTACGGCATTCGTGTTCGCCACGCTTTTGAGTGGGGCAAAGTTCTATAGTAAATCTGGCATTCTCCTTTCAACTATGTTTTGTAATAAAGTACGTAGGTTTCTGCTATAAGTACCTGTCTAACAAAAAAATTAAATAAATTCTTCTTTAATAACTTTCTTCAAAAATCCTTCGGTAATTTTAAAGAATGATGTATATCTGAAACATTTTGTTAGGCATTTAGCATCCATCCACGCAACTATTATAGTAGGAATGACGTTTTTCCATTACAATTTATCAAATAGGTAAAATACATAATATATTGTTACGAGCTTAGGGTTCGTGACAATAAAAACCTCCGATTGAATTACCAAAATTGACACTTTAATTACTGAACACCAGTTAAAACTTAAATCACGCTAATAATTAATCACACTTAACACTTTAATTCACTTTATCTCACTCCGAAAGCTTCGGTCGTTTCGCCAATTCAATACTGCCCCGATCGCGGCCTTAAACGGCTTTAAATAGGCCTTTTCCACCGAAACATCCAGAATATTCCAGCAAATACTGGCCCCGACCGACCAGATGCAGAAAGTTCGAGTGTGGGGCTTTCTAGAAAGTTCTTAGTTCTTCCATTCGATACTAGATGGCACTGTTGGTGGAAAGTTCAGGAATGGCATTTTCTAGAAAGCCCTCCTCACTCTGTTCCCCGACGCTAAATGGCGCTAGTGCCAGGTATCAGACACCAACTTAGGCGCGCAACACTGCCCCCCTCCCAAAGTATGCAAAGTATGCTCGTCCCGAGCATTATCGGCTCCATAATAACGCGCCAGGCGATCCACATGGACGATCTTAAGAGTACCTCTTGCAACTTTCTGAAACGGCTCCGCAACGTCAACGAGTGTCCTCTCCCATGGTGCACTAACATTGTACAATTTCAATGCACCTTTGCACATTCACACCAATCTAACATCTTCACGATAATGGACCCAGTAAAACCGTTCTCGGATCTTCAGTAGAGTTCGTTTAACTCCCAGATGGACTCCTGAACAACCATTATTGTACAGCTGTAGAACACCCGGCACTTTAGCTTTAGGGACAACCATTTGCAAACGACAGCTATCTCTTCGACCATTTTCCCATTTACGGCACAAGACTCCATCCTGAATCAGCAAGCTGTCCCATTAGGCCCAATAGCTCTTCGTGGTCAAACTCATCGCTGAGACGTCGCTCCATTTGAGTTAAAGGGCACCGGCCTTCATCCAATCCAGAATCGGCTTGATGTCCGAATCTTCCTGCTGTGCATGTTGTAGGCTGTCCTTCCATTCGTTGTTGAGGTGGTCTGTCCTGAGAACCCTCACAGATACCACCTCGTCACCCTCTTGCATAGTACTATTCTTGCAATCATCAGCAACTGTGTTACCATGTCATTTTCCGCTGCAGTGTTCGATGGTAAAGTCGTATTTCTGCTGCTGATGGGTGGTGCTGTAAGCCGCACTACCCTTTCGAGATCGATCACCTTCCCTTTTTACAGATCGCTTAGGGCAGCTGGGTCAAAGATGGCCCCTTTCCCGACAGCCGTAGCACCCTGGGCTGTAACTTTTATTGTGTTCGTGATCTGTAGGTGCTGCAGCCTCCCTAACATGAGAAGAACGATTATTCTGCTGCTGCTGGGCGGTGCTGTAAGCCGCACTAACCTTTCGAGATCGATCACCTTCCCTTTTTACAGATCGCTTAGGGCAGCTGGGTCAAAAATGGCCCCTTTCCCGACAGCCGTAGCACCTTGGGCTGCAACTTTTATTGTGTTCGCGATCTGTAGTTGCTGCAGCCTCCCTACCGTGAGGAGAACAATTATCCTGCCGCTGCTGGACGGTGCCGTTAGCCGCACTACGCCCTCGAGATCGATCATCTTCCCTATCTACAGTTCGTTTAGGGCAGCTGGATCGAAGATGGGCCCTTTCTCCACAGCCATAGCACCTAGGGCTGTATCCATTATTGCGGTCGTGAAATATAGCTGCTGCTATGACCCTGACGCGATGGGAACGATGATCCTACCAGGAAGAAGTCCCGTCTAACGGTGGCACTTTGAATCCACGTAGCGAAAGTGTTGTAGCTACTACGGGAGCTGTAATTCCATCTCCATGTTTGAGTTCATCCAGCGTATTCTTAACTTGGTTGATTTGGGTCTCAGCTTATCCTTCAACTCCCTTATCTCTTTCCCGAAGATAGCGTGAAGGTCCTTAATGAGAAGCATCTGCTCTTCCTTATTGCGTTTGAGCTGCTCTTTCAACTGACGGGCCTATTCCTCCTGCTGCTCTTTCAACTGACGGGCCTGTTCCTCTTGTCCACCCCGCAGCTGCTCTTCCATTCACCGGACCTGTGCTACGTGCTACTACGTGCGGCTACGTGGATTCAAAGTGCCACCGTTAGACGGGACTACTTCCTGGTCAGCTTACAAAATCCATTTCGAAGCTGTTATGAAGGCGAACGGCTAGAATAAAGGTCAGACCATGACCGCTCTCACACTAGACCTGCGTGACCAGGCCTTAACTGTTCCGGAAGCTCTCGGTGAGGAAGTGACTTATGAGCAGCTCCTTGAGACATTGGAGGCAAGATATGGCGACGCTCACCTGGAACACGTCTTTCGTACGCTGATTAAAGATCGCGTGCAACGCGTTAACGAAAGCCTGCAGCAGTGGGCTCTTGAGGTGGACAAGCTGGTGCGAAAAGCATACCGGTCTGTGCCTGCACTCGTTAAAAGGAACCTGGTGCAGACATTCATCGACGGCATCCGCGACTTTGAAGTCAGACCTACTGTGAGGCTCCGGCACCACGTGACACTTAAGGAATCATTGGCCCATGCACTTGAGGTTGAAGCCGTGCAGTAGGATCATCGTTCCCATCGCGTCAGGGTCGTAGCAGCAGCTACATTTCACGACCGCAATAATGGATACAGCCCTAGGTGCTATGGCTGTGGAGAAAGGGCCCATCTTCGATCCAGCTGCCCTAAACGAACTGTAGATAGGGAAGATGATCGATCTCGAGGGCGTAGTGCGGCTAACGGCACCGTCCAGCAGCGGCAGGATAATTGTTCTCCTCACGGTAGGGAGGCTGCAGCACCTACAGATCACGAACACAATAAAAGTTACAGCCCAGGGTGCTACGGCTGTCGGGAAAGGGGCCATCTTTGACCCAGCTGCCCTAAGCGATCTGTAAAAAGGGAAGGTGATCGATCTCGAAAGGGTAGTGCGGCTTACAGCACCACCCATCAGCAGCAGAAATACGACTTTACCATCGAACACTGCAGCGGAAAATGACATGGTAACACAGTTGCTGATGATTGCAAGAATTGTACTATGCAAGAGGGTGACGAGGTGGTATCTGTGAGGGTTCTCAGGACAGACCACCTCAACAACGAATGGAAGGACAGCCTACAACATGCACAGCAGGAAGATTCGGACATCAAGCCGATTCTGGATTGGATGAAGGCCGGTGCCCTTAAACTCAAATGGAGCGACGTCTCAGCGATGAGTTTGACCACGAAGAGCTACTGGGCCTAATGGAACAGCTTGCTGATTCAGGATGGAGCCTTGTGCCGTAAATGGGAAAATGGTCGTAGAGATAGCTGTCGTTTGCAAATGGTTGTCCCTAAAGCTACAGTGCCGGGTGTTCTACAGCTGTACAATAATGGTTGTTCAGGAGTCCATCTGGGAGTTAAACGAACTCTACTGAAGATCCGAGAACGGTTTTACTGGGTCCATTATCGTGAAGATGTCTAGGATTGGTGTCGCAAATGTGCAAAGGTGCATTGAAATTGTACAATGTTAGTGCACCATGGGAGAGGACACTCCTTGACGTTGCGGAGCCGTTTCAGAAAGTTGCAAGAGGTACTCTTAAGATCGTCCATGTGGATCGCCTGGCGCGTTATTATGGAGCCGATAATGCTCGGGACGAGCATACTGTGCATACTTTGGGAGGGGGCAGTGTTGCGCGCCTAAGTTGGTGTCTGATACCTGGCACTAGCGCCATTTAGCGTCGGGGAACAGAGTGAGGAGGGCTTTCTAGAAAATGCCATTCCTGAACTTTCCACCAACAGTGCCATCTAGTATCGAATGGAAGAACTAAGAACTTTCTAGAAAGCCCCACACTCGAACTTTCTGCATCTGGTCGGTGGGGCCAGTATTTGCTGGAATATTCTGGATGTTTCGGTGGAAAAGGCCTATTTAAAGCCGTTTAAGGCCGCGATCGGGGCAGTATTGAATTGGCGAATCGACCGAAGCTTTCGGAGTGAGATAAAGTGAATTAAAATGTTAAGTGCGATTAATTATTAGCGTGATTTAAGTTTTAACTGGTGTTCAGTAATTAAAGTGTCAATTTTGGTAATTCAATCGGAGGTTTTTATTGTCACGAACCCTAAGCTCGTAACAATATATTATGTATTTTACCTATTTGATAAATTGTAATGGAAAAACGTCATTCCTACTATAATAGTTGCGTGGATGGATGCTAAATGCCTAACAAAATGTTTCAGATATACATCATTCTTTAAAATTACCGAAGGATTTTTGAAGAAAGTTATTAAAGAAGAATTTATTTCATTTTTTTGTTAGACAGGTACTTATAGCAGAAACCTACGTACTTTATTACAAAACATGGTTGAAAGGAGAATGCCAGATTTACTATAGAACTTTGCCCCACTCAAAAGCGTGGCGAACACGAATGCCGTACGCATCATTTTTTTGCCGCTTTATTACTTCATCCAAATTATATAATTTGGAGTTTCTAGAACAAGGCTGGCCAATAGATTTTCCAGGTGAGCAAAATTTCTTAGATTGTGGCGGCGCCGGGTCACCGGTACTCCCATATTCATAAGGTAATTTATACACAAGACAAAAGTTTAACATTGTCGGAGGAGAACAATCTTTTCCTTGCAATTTAAAGTTCAGAACATTAAGGTACTTCATAATGGTAACTACAAATGCAAGATCGCAAAGCAGAAGAATTTTTAAGCAGAGCTCTCTCTGCTGGTAATGCTTGTTTTTCCTCCAGAAAATCCAGAACCTGGTCCCTCAAATCATAAAAATGTTTCACCATTTCGCCCTTGGATAACCAGCGAACAGCGCAATAGAGATGTAATTCGCCGTATTGTTTAATTTCTTCTTCAAACAACATTCTGAATTCTCGGCGGTTAAATGCTCTGGCACGTATGAAATTAATACAACGTACTACTGGGTCAATCACATCCTCGAACGTCATGTCTTTAGCGCACAAAGCTTCTTGATGGATAATACAATGATAAGAAAACAATTGTCGACCGATGTAATTTTGCAGCAAAGCCACAGTACCATTCGCTTTCCCCATCATCGCAGGTGCTCCATCAGTGCAAACTGAATTGCATTTATCCCAGTTTAGGTTCTTACCCTCAACGCAATCTTTAACTTTCATAAATATATCCTTTCCTATGGTAGTAGTTTCAAGTTGACAGAGGTCCAATAAATCTTGAAATATATTAAAATTGTCATCAATACAGCGTACAAAAACAGATAACTGCGCCATACCTGTTAAATCGCAGGTTTCGTCCAATGCAAGTGAAAAATATCTGCATTTAGTGACAAACTCTGTAATTTGGCTGATAATTTCTATTGACATTTCTTCTACTCGCCTCATTACTGTGTTGCGCGAAAGTGAAATACTATCTGCCATGGCTATAACCTTTTGATCATTGCAGTTCTGCGCAAAAATTGTCAAACTCTGTTTTATAATGTCCCCATCAGAAAACGGCTTTTTCTTTTTAGCCAGGAGTAAATATATTTCATACGATGTTTTGACCATGGCTTCCAATTCGTCATGTTTTACAAAAATATTTTGCTGTAAAAATAGTTCTTTGTCCTTAAAGCTGACCCCACTGGATACTCTTTTTCGAATTTCGCATGGTTTTATTTGAAATGTCGCTCAAAATTATATTTTTAGCAACAGCTACTATCGCTGAGAAAATGAAACACACCGGTTTGCGGGCTTTGCTCTCGATGAAAAAGTATTTTGGTTTCCATTCTTCGTGAAACGTTCGAAAGTTATCATTTATTTTTGATGTACTAGGTTTGCTGAGGGCCATACAAAACAATACAGATTTGACTTGTAAACTACAGTTAACGATTTCAATATGGAATGTAGGTAAGTAAAGTAAAATAATTGATTTGGACAGGCACAATACGACAATATTAATAAAACTTGACAAAATATCTACTTACCTACAATTATAACGTAACGCACAATAAACAAACAAAAACCTAAAATGGTATGTAGGTATCTAAATCAAAATCACAGCACGTACATAGTCTTACCTGCAGATAATGTAAATGTAAAGTTTTTATAAAATCTTTTCTAATTTTCAAAACAAATTGTCACCAAACTGATTTTATTATTGTAGTACTAGTACCTAATCCAATGCAGCCGAGGTAAATTCAAACGCCTTGGCGAGCCGCTTCGTGGCCCGCGTGCCTGGGTTTGGCCGGCCTTGCTCTAAAACTTGCGATTTTTTTGGAACTCAAATTTAGCAATTACATTTACCTTACCTACCATTTACCTTAGAGAGCCAGTATTATCGATTGCAGGTAATTGTAATGCTTTTCATCTAAGCCATTTGAAAAGTAAAGTGAGAGCCTATATACGTCCCACTGCTGGGCATAGGCCTCCCCTCATTTCTGAGAGAGTTTTAGGGCAAGGAAGTGTCCGCCGCGCTGCCCCATTGCGTGTTGTCGAATTTCACATGTCTTCGAAATATTTTTTTTCCTTATTCCTCAGTAATGCAGGTTTCCTCACGGTGTTTTCCTTCACCGCCGAGAACATGGTAAACCAGCACTTAAAATTGCAATTAACAGTTTCATTGGTGCCGGTGGGTATCGAACCCGGGTTACTCGCTTTCTGTTATATTTACAGCGAGTGTTAACCATCTGAGCTACCACGGCTCGTCATTTGAAGCGACAAAGTATCTTAACGTAGCCCGCTTTGTTTGTGTGACTTACCGTCAGGCGGGATGTGATTTCGTTGGTCACTTCAGATTTTGCTAGTTCATTGCTTAACATAATATTATTATTTTTGATGTGGTGCTCTACCACGTTACAGTTGTGCTATATAATGTATACATAACTGCAGCACAAATAGGTCGGTTAACCGGGGTAGGACCACGCTCTTACAGAATACCAGCGTAAAATAGCGGCTTAATGCTGATGTTTGGTACGGTGAGTGTATAGAACCAGAGACCATTTAACCCGGTAACGAGGCATTCCATCTCAGTCCTTAAGGGTGACAACGCACCTGAATCCTGATACTTGATCTTGATACAACACGTGGATGTGTAAAGGTCATTGCATTCACTTACCATCAGGTGAAGGTGTGCTCGTTTATCACCCATATTCTATAAAAAACGTAGCCTTCCTAATGCTGGGACATACTATGATCGTCACGCTGCACAGATTGACGATCGTAGTACCAGCTACTATTTCCTACCAAACACTTTTAGCAGGTGGATAGTACCTTGACTAGAGCTGCTAGACTCTGAGAAAAATAAGAACACAAATTCTATTTAATTATATAGCTGGGTAGACGTTCGGGGCATAGTTTGCCTATTTATTAACTATTCCTGTAGATCTTCCCCTAGAAGTTTTGTTTTTTCGTTAGCATTGGCTTCTACAATCATATTGCGCATCCAATTTGGAGCGCGAAATGCCTGCCGTTTATTCTCGTGGAGTCCAATACCCATCCCACCCATACCTCTGGAATTTGAATTGAAATTCGATCGTTTACATTTATTATAAAGAGCTATGTGTTTGAAACTATTTTATTACAATTTTACATATATTAATCATACATTGGTCAAAAAATGCGTATTGAACAATGTTTTGCCTATAATAAATATGGCGTGAGGTAATAGTATATTTCATTACGAGTGCGGAAAGCCTATCATTGCGAAGAGTTCCGACAAATGTCTACCGAGCCGAGGCGCAGCCGAAGGTGAGGGCTGACAGTCGGAACAAGTTGCAATGACGTTTCCGCAAGTGTACTGAACTACTATTTTTAATACAGTTGCGAAAAAATGAAGCATTTTAATAAAAAAAACTCAACTAACAACTAACATTGAAATTAGTACAGTTTTTTATACTAACTGGGGAAGTTTTAGGTTGCATATTTACTGTTTGAGACAAACTATTATTAATTTAGTATGATTGTTCATGATATCTCCAAGCAATAAATTCGTCGTATGTAGTATATGTAGCGACTTTTTGACTTTTCCGGTAAAATGTTCTCCGAAGCATTTTGTGCAATTATACTGAGTTCCGGTGGTTTTAATTAAAATAAAATATAATCGAAATTACTCATTTTGTGCAACAAACAACTAAACTCGCAAAGAAATTTTTTGTAAAATAGCGCCAACCGTAAAAGAATATAGTTAAGCAAAGATTTTTTGTTTTCTTCACCCATTCTGGGTAGGCAAAGGGAACTTTATCCATACAGTCAAGTCTTCAGTAGAAATTTTTTATTGATATGAAATGGAAATGAAATTTAATGAGATGAAATGAAATGAAACCTAACTTAACTCGTTGAATCAAATCATTAAATCTGATATTGAAACAAATTAGTAGCTTCCTTTTTGCAATATTTGCATGAATCGTAAAAATTTCTATAATTTTTTTTATTAAAAACTTCGTGGTTGGTTTTTTCTTTTTAACCTTTAAAAGGCCGAAGATCCAACCTCTATACTCTATTCCAATTACGAAGTCCCATTTGACAGATGTCAATATTCAAGTACTAGTAAAGTACCGCTATAGTCGATACTTGACGATATTGATCTTCGATTACTATAACGAACAAATTAAAATCGTATTGACAGAAAAAGGATTAGCATCAAATTAAAATTTATAAAACTGTTTTTTTTTTAATTTTAATTAGATAATATTACATGATATTTTTATCAAGATGGAACATATTCATCATCTCTAACCGCAATCGATATTTCATGGTCGGCATCGTCGTCATCACCCTCATCATCGTCTGTAGAATCTCCTGTATTTATTATAATTTGGTTATCTATGACGGCATCGATATGACATCTCTGTCCCAATCAGCGAAAATCAAATTTTTTGTTCGTAAAACCACACTTTCCCAATTCGCGGCAGTAACACTATCACAAGCTTCTTGCAACAATGACAGCATTTTGTTTGCAGTAAACGGTGGGCTGGTATTTTTACGAGCCGCATAACCTAAAATAAAGATTTTTGTGTTAAAATAGCAACAGATAAAATGTTAAAATGGGTAAAAATAAATTATAAAAAAGATTTGTTTAAATTCTTGCTTTTAATTTGCGCCCAAACCAATTGTATTGACAATGGTAGGGTGGAAGGCGCATTACATTGTGTCCGGCTTCCTTAGCCATTTCATCCAATACGTATTTTGGTCTAGCTGGCTTATTTATAGCAACCAAATGCAGCAGCTCAACTTTTAACATGGACATGTCAGCAAAAATATTATTGTCATTCAGCCATTTCACAATATCGACTTTTTGCTGCTAGAAGTTGGAGGCTTACTTATTTGTACTGAATGATACGGTGCATTATCCATAGTGATCGTCGATGGCTCATTCAAGATGGTCAATAAGGTACAAAACCATTCCTTAAATTTAACAAAATTCATCTCTTCGTGGTATTCCACAGTTTTCTTAGATTTAAACGCCAAGAAGCAGTTCGGAACAAATGCCTTCATGGAACCCGCATGACAAATAATTAAGCGTTCGCCTTTACCACTAGATACTTTTGTGGAGGAGTGAGAAGTGTCGTCTGTCCATATCTTGCCAACTGTATGAGTAGCGTTTAGCCACGTCTTATCTAGAAATATAACATTATTCCAAACGGCAATGGACTTTGCTGATCTTAGAAAATTAAATCTGGCTAAAGCTATATCTCTACGCTCCATCAAAATCTGCCTTTTATCACATTTTTTATAAGAAAAGCCAACATTTTTTAAAACCCTCCAGAAAGAAGTTCTACTGCAGTGAAACAGTCCAGATTCTCGTAAAATATTTGACAATTTATCGAGAGTCGGCAATTCGTTCCTACTATAGTAGCCATAGATATGGTTTCTAACGGCGTCGTTATTAAAATTGTCGATATGTGTAACTATCGGTGGTTGCGCGGAAAACCATTCGTATTTTTAATTTTATTCGAGGGTAGGCTTGCCAAGCGTTGTCCTTTCCTTCACCTATCGTTCGTGTTCGTTCGTGGTGGGATGAGAGGGGAAAGAAGATAATTCTAGAATGTCGCGTGATTCTCGCAACCAATGAGAAGCCCCCCCCCCCCCCGAGACGCATTCAGAGAAGGAACGAAGCAATATAAGCGTGCGCACGGCCCTCGTGCGCCGTCTTGCCTTTGCACCGCTGGTTGGAACCACACCGCCTGGGACAGTCGCGTCCTAGAGGGCTCTTGCCCACGCCCACCGCTAGTTTCAAACCGCACCAACCTGGAGCAGTCAAGCTCCAGGAGTAACCGCCTCACCTAGTGTGATATATCGTCGCGCACCGCTCTCTTCCATCGCACCACCGACCAGGACCGCATCCCTGGGGCCCCAGGAAATCTGCCAGAAGTAGCACCGCAGCAACGGAAGCGTCCAAGTCGCATCGAAGTCACACCCCGGTAAGTGTGCTTCTTTTCCTATTTATTTATTTTTATTTATTTATTTGATTATTTTGCATAATGTGTGTTTTACAGTTGTTATAAAGAAAAAATATAGTACAACACATTAACCATTTCTGGTGTACAAAATGATATAAATTTAAAAACATT